CTCATGCAAGTACTCACTTTTCCTGCTGTCAGCCTCCTTCCTTACTCTCTGATTTGTCATGGGTATATGGCATTTCACGGGTATTCCCTAAAGGCCAGTGAAGTGTGCTTTGCAGCACGCATGGGTCTGATCGCTGGCATGAGCTCTGAGGGAGGCATCCCTCTCCAAATCACAGTAAATCACAGACAGAAGGAATAATGTCCCTAACTGTGCTTGAGCAGAAATTGTACACTGATGCTTTTCTGTATTCCTGGGCATATATGGCATCACAAGTGTCTTCCTTGTGCACTGAATGCCAGTATGTGGTTGAGCTCCGTCTGGCACTTGCAGTTATCCTTGTGGTCGTTGGCCTGGTCTGGGAACTCAACACAAGAGCCTCAAAGTAGGCCATGCCTGTATCTGTTCTGGAATAAAACAGTGGCAGCAAAGAACATCTTGCTGACATAGAAATACCTGCTTCGGGTGAGCTGGCTAATGCTGCGAGGAAACAGCTCCTTCATGTAGAGCTTCGGGCATGCCTGAAGGTTTGTTCCTACCTTTGCCAGTGACCACTGACATGTAGCAGTTTCTCTCACATGGTGTGGACAGCATGACTTGCTCAGCCCATCTGCCTGAGGGAGTTTACAAACCAGGTAATGCTGCAGCCCAGCCATGGTAGTTTCATTACAGGGTCTTGGTCTCAGCCTTAGCTTTCTGTACAGCACATTTTACACAGTTGTAGAGACCTGTTTCTGAGCAAAAACACCAGGAGGGTGGCCACTGGACAGATGGAAGTCCTCTACACCATTTGTGCCATCGTAAATGTGGAGGCAGCAAAGGAGCATCTTCTAAAGCATCTGCTGTCTGTTGGCAGGTGCTTTTAACCAGGCTTGGTGTGTGCCTCTCTGCTGTTATTGGAACTGGGACTTAGATGCATCTAAAAATCAAACCTTAGTAAGAACCCAGCATTAAAGTGCCTTTGCAAGTAGGGCTCAGGCTCCTATATCAGCTGAATAGCCTTAGTGGTGGAGATTTGTTTCCTGGAAGATGGGATTGTTCAAAGGCTCATCTGTGTTAAAGAACTAGCATTAAAAGGCCACGTCAAGACTAGGATAAGCTTCATGGCTTGTATGTGCTATTGCAGGGCAGCCTTTCAGAGGGGGCAGGCAGAACTGAGGTTTCCAGTAAAATTTGTGACATGCTCGTGAAGGAATGTGCAATCAAAATACAGCCTGGCTAGTCTGTACATGGGGCAGAACAAGTGCTGCAGACATGGGCTGCTCCAGCTACGTTTAAACTTAACAGTTAAACCAGGCAAACACCACCGCATGCCAAGCACTTGATTTTTCTTTGTATCAGTGAAATATTTTGTTTGATCTCCTTTTTCTCTCCCTGCCAGAGCCCTCAAGACTTACGCTTTTAATCTTCTGCGGTTTGAATAATTTCTAAATAGAAATGTGAGGGTTTTGGAACCTCCAAGAGACTCTGGGCTCTGAGAGTTGCATCCAGGCAGTATCTGAATGTTAGTTTGCTACACTTTGAAGACTGCATATTGCAATGGAATTTGCATTGGCTATTATTTAGCAGTGATTTGAAGTATGATTTAGATATGCCTGGTTTAGTACTGTGATGAGTTTGTGCAGCAGAGATGAGCAATTTGTAAAGACAAGGGGATGAGAATGCTATGGGGGAAAGCAGTGGGACATCCCTTAGCTGGGAGAAGGAGGAATAGGAAAGATGTACAGGTCACCTTCTTCCCACTTGGAGCATGATCTGTGTCATGGAATAACTGCAGGAAAAGTCTTTCTTCTGGGGAGCAGCGTATATGTCAGCTGCTCTGGAAATGGGAATGGGGACAGAGGGAGGTGAGTTTTATCCCAGGGGCAACCTAGAGGGGACAGTAACGCCATGACATGAAGAGAAGTAGGGTTGACTGAAGAGGAGTGGGAAGGGGTTTGCCTGCAAATCAGGCATCTATTTAAGCCTGCAGCAATCTCCTCTGCTTGAGAAATCTCCATCAAAGGATTCCTGAAGTGGGATGGTGAAAATGGGAATGAAAAAGGGAATGCTCAAGCAGAGACCAGTCTACTGCGCTCCTCCTGTTTAAGATCTAATGGATATTAGCCTTGTCTTTAAAGCACATAATGTTGCACTGATTTTATGACTCATCTGTCACAGCAGATGTTTTCAGTACTATTAGCAATACTGCAGTTTGGAAGTTAACCTGGGGTTGGAAACCTGGGAATCACTGGGCCACGGAGCCCTGTGGTGTACGTGCTTGCTGGTGTGCAATGCTGCTTTCAGTATGTGACAGCTCATGTAATTGAGGACGCTGCCTTGCAAATTTAACTTTGAATTGCAAATACGGTCACGATTCTTCTGTTTTGGGGGACGTGTCTGCATGGCTTTAAAGCTGCTCTGCTGCTTCAGGTTTGAGTGTGGGTGTAAGACGAGGGTAGGTATTCAAACCAAATATGAATTCAGATGCAGACCATGAGGGTGAACTGGAATTACTGGCCCGCGAGGTGAGGTATCTCTCAGAGGAACTGTGTGTGTTCCCTGCCAAGCCCTCCCCTCTGCTTTCATGATACCAAGTGATGTGTTCTTGCTTTGGAGAAACCAAAGGGATTTAGATCTGCTTTTTCATGAAAGTGTGAAGAGAAACAGTGAGGAGGAGAGGAGGGAAGCAGCATCTGGGAGGCTTCAGGAATGGTGGGACTGATTGTTGTGCTATTGGTGCACAGGCTGGGCAGTACTTCAAAGTGTGATTTCTTTACTTGTTTCCCTGGGGTGCATGGCATTGACAGCTGGACATAGGAAGATGTTTTCTGATGTTTGTTTGACATCAGGGGAATTTACTGCAAGTACATTTTGAACTATGGAAGTCTAAGGACCATCTGTCTTGACTGTTTTAGTGAAAGTGGGGATAGTTCACAGTCGCTGCTTGGTGGATGGGTACAGAGTTTTTGTGTTAACCAGTGACTGCAGCCTGCTTACAGCTGGCCTGCCTTTGTAGAGGAAGTCACTGATCTAGCTGGCACAAGCCAGTTGTGGCCTGGTGCCTCCACCTCAGATAGGTCTGTTTGGCATCAATATGGGCACACTTAGAAAAACTGTGCCCTTGCTGGACATGGATGATGCCATCCCATATTTGCCTTTGAGAGCAGACCCCACCTGCCAGACTGATATCAAGTGATGGTGCTATTGGGTGTCTCTGCTGTGGCTGGGCTACGCTACTCTGAAGACATGGTATGTTGATGGCTGGGGAATCTGCCTGGCTGGGGCCAGTCGTGTGGAGTGGAGCCAGGAGGAAACTTGAGTTGCTCTGATCAAGCTGTTGGGGAAGTGTTCCTTGGAGCTGGGCACATCTCTGCACCTGGCTATCCCCTCTCACTGTGCTGAGCTACGTCTTGGCTGGGACTACATGCTGCAAGGGTGCCAGCATTGGGGAGCTGTGTCCTGGATTCAGCTGTAACATTTATTTTTCTCCTTCCAATAACTAAAGTATAATATAAAACTACTACTACTACTACTAAGGGAAATGTTAAAGGGGAGAGAATACAATTGCTCACCACCCGTTGACTGATACCCCGCCCAACCCGAGCAGTGATCTGGGCCTTCTGGGTAACTCCCTCCAGTTTATATACTGGGCATGACGTGCTGTGGTATGGAATACCCCTTTGGTTAGTTTGGGTCAGGTGTCCTGTTTCTGCTTCCCCCTGGCTTCCCGTGCCCCTCCTCACAGACAAAGCATGAGAGACTGAAAAGTCCTCAATCAGGGTAAGTATTACTAAGCAACAGCTAAAACACTGGTGTGTTATCAGCATTATTTTCAGACTAAAGCCAAAACACACTACTGCAGCAACTACTAGGAAGGAGAAAAATAACTGTTACAGCTGAAATGACAACAACTTGCCAATTTGGCACTTGAACAGCTGACCTAAGGCATGCATTTAGCAGGGGGATACCATGCGGTGCGACAGCCCCCCTCTGCTACTAACTCAATGCCGATGTGGTAGTGCCTCCATTAGGGAATAGCTGATGGCTGGGAGCTGGGATCTGTGCGCTCAGCAGAGTATAGGGTGGCTCAGAGCCCTGACAGGACACAGCGGCAGTCCCGCGGCACCCAAGGAGAGGGATATTAGGGAATCCTCTTGAGTATTTTTACCTGCTTCTAAGTATTGTTCTGATAGCGAAGAGAGGCACCCTGCAGCTGGCTAGCCATCGCAGAACAGCAGGGCCTTTCCAGCGTCTAGCTAGCTCCAGCTTAGAAACACAGTACAGGAGCAATGGCTGGACAGCTGCAGTGGCCAGGGTTGCTCAGGGACAGAATAGCTTCAGAAAAGGTCAAGCATGCTTGTCTGTGGCTAGTTTGAGGTCCCTCCTAGAGTTTCTTAGAGGAGAAATGTGTTACTGATGCAAAAATCATTCTGAGCAGTGCTTTCAAGCTGTTTTCTTTCTGGTCCATGTCAAAGAAGGCGGTCTTGACAGGGTCCTTGTAACATCGTTCTGCTTGAACTGGAAGACAGCTGCTTTTTGGGTAGCTTTGTGGGTGTGGGTAGCTGTAGGATACAGATGTTCATAATAAGGCTTGTATCTGTCTCCTGATTTGCTGCTGATGCTGCAGTTCAGCTTCTTCCCTTTCATGGAGATGGGATCCAGAAGTTTGCGTTCAGTCTGCCCCAAAGTTTAATTAAAACACCTACTCCTAAAACCTCCATCTCCCTAAGGAGCTCTCAAGTCTGTGTGCGGCTGTTCAAAGCAGAGACAGGAACGATGGCAGATGTTACCTTTGTGTGGAGCAGCATGTCTCCAAGCTGTAATCATCAGGACATTCACCATGGTTACGTGGATGAGACCTGCTTGGGTTGAAGAACCAGTAAGCCTTCTTAAAGTGCTCACTTGCATTGGTCATGGATGTTTACCTAGTGATGCAGAGGGGAAGGGCATGGTCAAGGCAAAAATTGCAAAAACTGCCTTGCTGATGCGTAAATGTTTTCCTTGTTTTCCCCTATTCACAGGAGAACTGCTGAGTCAGCCGAGACCAGAGGGACTGACGGAGATCATCTGTCCCAAGAACGGCAGCGAGCGAGTTAATGTTGCCTTGGTTTACCCCCCCACTCCTACTGTGATCAGCCCTTGTTCCAAGTGAGACCTGAAAGCAGACCCCCATTTCCCTCTCAGTAGACATCAGAAAGCCTACATAACACATGCCCTCACTAAGCACTTTTCCTGGAAGCAAGCAGCCCCACAGCCTGGGGACTGCTGTAGATATAGACAGCCCGCTCAAAGGATAAGAGGTACAGTGAAATGGGTTAAAGTGTTCCCTCAGCTGTGTTGTTGCTGATGTGAGACACACACAGGGGTCAGGGCAGATCAAGAGATAATACAGTCATGGGCAGGTTTAGGTCAGGAACTCAGGAAGTCTCTGTGCTCACCCTCCTCCAAGCAGGGCCACCCTAACAGCTGGGTCAGGTTGCTTGGGACCTTGTTATAGGCAAGGGCTGATGACTGCCAAGGATGGAGGTACCACCTCATCTCTGGACTACAGAATTACACTGTGCTGATGTGACTGAACATTTTTCCTTCTGTCCCATCTGAGGCTCCGTTATTACATCTTGGCTTTTATTGTCACAAAGATGCACTGCTGGCTTGTGGTCAACATGTTCTCCACTGCGTCCAAAGCCAGCTGGATCCCAGGCTGTGGTGGTGCATGGGCTTGCCCTGTTCCAGGTATAAGGTTATGCACTTATCCTGGTTGAATTTCACAGCACTTGTTGGCCCAGTCCTCCACCTTGGTGAGATCTCTCTGGACGGAAGCTCTGCCCTCCTCTATTAATAGTCTGCATGTGCTTCACTCCACAAAGTAGGGATGTGCTGGGGAAACAGAGCTGTGTTGTGGTGGGAACAAATATGGAACAACATTGACAAAACCAGACAGTGCCTTGGCTTCTTGATGTGTAGGTTTTTCTTGCAGAACAGAAGTGCAGCCGTGATCTGCTCTTCTCAGAGTACCACAAGGGAATTTGGCAGGGAGCTTAGAGAAGCAAGCCAAGTGTCTTGCTGGTGGCTGTTACTATGCTGCATGTAAATGCCTATTACTTTCCCTTCAGTATCTGAAAGTAGTTTGGATGCTGCTCTCTGTTCAGTATCTTTTCACCCCAAAATATGCTCATCCTGCTGGAGAATAGCTTCAGTGATACTGGGCTGTTGAGCTGTGTGTGAAGGGGAGGTGCCCACCTGGGCAGGAAGCAAGTTTGCTGCCCTGATACTGAGCCACAAGTTGCCGTGGTCTATTCATTTGCTCCTCCTATGTGTGTACTTGTTCCAGCACATTTCTAACCCAAGGCTGCAATTCGTGTTCTACTGTGCTGTCAGGCTTTGCCTGTGCAATTGTCCTCTTGTCCTCTTGTTCTGCAGCCTACCTTCCACAGTGTCTAATAACTGTGTCCCAGTTTTGCAGTCACTGCTGGCAAGAAACTTGTGTTCTCAAAAAGGCCTGTGTTACTTGTAAAGATCTTGCCCTCCCTATTTAGAAGCCTACAGAAAATTGTGTGTCTTAGATTATTTATCACATGCACCATGAACCCTGCTGCTCGTGCTACATTACATTTTCTTTATCTTCCAGATAAATCGTCAGTGCTGGTGCCAAAGGTTTTCCACCGGGCAGAACATGGCTGATGCTCTGCAGTGCTCCCATCTCTCCAGTTGTGGAGTTGCATGCTGACGGGGATCGATGGGACTTTGGACTCTGAAATGCTGTGGGGCAGGGGCAGCTCTCAGGTGGGGCCTCATGGCTGGAGTGGACGCAGTCACCTGGAGGTGTGGGATGACAACGAGGCATGAAGCAAAATGATTGCTGCAGATGACAGGGCCACTGGCCAGATGGAAAGCACTGGGGATAGGATTCTGTGGACACATTGATCACATGTTGAAAACCCATTTGGATCTCATGATGAATGTAAAAATGTTCTTGGTACCATTTAATTCAGACCTACTTGCAGGAGAGTCTCTTGAAATGAGCTGCAGCAGGATTCCCTGGATTTGTTCCTGGACAAGTGAGTTTTGTGGCAGTTGAACAAGGCTTTGTCAGGGAGGGGTGTGATGCTGTGAAGCCTTTAAAGCTGCTGCACTGCAAAAGAGTTGGCTGTGTCCCACACACAGGCTTGAGCAGTAGCTGGCAAAGCAGGAGGAAAAGCAGGCTGGGAAATGTTTCCTGCCTTGTGTGTTCACATACACTATGCCATGAGGTGGTAAGAATGTGTTGTAATCACACAGGGACACAAGAAGGGCAGTCACTGTGTGCCTGCCACCTGCCATTTCTTCCTTATTGATAGCCGCCAAAAGCTCATGGTCTGCCATGTTTGGATGCTTTAGATTTGTCATTGTGGCACCCTCCTTATGTAGCAGCCACTAGACCAGTAGAAGTCTAGGTCTGGATCCTAGTAGAGCTACCCAGGCATCTTTGTGTGGAGATCTGGTGGAGCAGCATGTGGCTGTATTGTACAGACTGGCCCTGATCCCCGTAGGCTGACCCTGGCAGCCATGCTTCCTGATTGGCCATTCTTTTCTGGGCCAGATGTGGAAAGGGTTGGGAAAGTGCAGGTTGAGCACTGGTACCACAGCACTGGTTTCTCTCTGGACCATGTGGTTTTGAGGGTTTCTAAGATGTGGCTGTCAGTTTGTGTCCTACAGCTGAGCCCTATAGCTGGGCTGTACGCGTCCTGCTCCATGCAAATACCTGGTTTAGTGTAAATCAAATAGGAGGCAGGCATTTCCAGAGCCAGAATCCCTTCAGCAGCTGCTGGTGAAGGTCTGAGAGATGAGGGACTTAAACTCTTGTCCTGTGATGGCAGAGCTGGGATGAGTGATACTGGTAGAAGGCAGTCCCCACCTGGATGCAGGCTGGCCAGGCCAGTGCATGACGGTGACATGCATCCTGCCAGTACTTGCTGCTATTGCAGAGGTGACATTCCCCTTCTGGTCCTTCACATACCAGTCTTGTGTGCAGGGCTGCAAATAACCCTGTTAGCAGAATTTAACACTGGGAAATGCAAGGCAGAATTTACCAGGAGATTGTGGAAATCAAACCATTGTTGGGGGAAACTGCCAAATAAAAGTTATCAGCTTCATCAGTTCATGTCTTTTTCCAGGTATCATTCCAGCTGGGAGGAGAGCTTGGGCTCAGACTTAATTTGTTGATCTGCCAGCTCTGGCAATATGCATTTAAGCCTTTCTTATGTCAGTGAGAAGCAGTGACTGATTGCGCTTCTGTATCACTGTAGATAAATTAGAGACTAGAAATTGCCTGTGGCACCTGGAGGGGATGAAAGTGGGGTGAGATCTCCGAGTGGTGTCAGGAATAGCGCTAGGACACTCCCTGAGTCTTGCTGCCTATGAGGCATAAAGGGCCCTGATATAGTCAGAACTTGTGTTAGAGCATTCCCTGCTGTCACCTCCTGTGCTGGGTGGCCTTCTCTTTGCTGCTACTCACCTCTCTCTTTCCATTCTCCATAGGAAGAAACTAGCGATCTGTTGCTGTGATGTTGCGTGGAAGCCACGTTGTAAAGAAACCACAAACTGGAATCCTTTTCCAGCCGGAGGCCTGTTTCCCAGTGCGCCCATCTGGTCTGGGATGCGTGAGCATTGAAGGAGTGAGAGGACAGAGCAGATGTCTTGCAGCCTGCTCCTTGGGACCACAGCCCTCCTGCCAGGGCATGCCACATCATCAGGAGCATGGCAGTACCTGGCCTGTGCAGGCACTAAGTTGGCACTGAAGCTGAAATGCCGGGAGCATGGCAAATCAACCTAGCTGGGTCTATCTAATATAAAATGGTGATCACTCATCCACCCACTGTTTGGTAACTGGTGTAACTGTGTTTTCATCTGTGGTTTTTTAATATGCAAAAGCCATTTAATTTTCTATGCAGTTAAAAAACATCTCCCCTTTGCAACTGCCAGGTGGGAGATCTGTGCAGGAGAACCAAGCCAAGTGGCTGAGAGTCTTTTTGATTTTACTGTTGCTCTCTTTTAAGGATGCATCCTGGAATCCTCTGCACACAGTGTCCCTTTGATGAGCCCCTGCTTCTTAGACCCCACTTAACATCCCTGAGACCCAAGGATGAGGACCTCAATTTTTTAAAGGGTGTCATTTTTTGGGGAGTCAAGCCACAAGGAAAAAGGGCTTGAAGGCAGTGCCCTAAAAGCAGAGATACCCGAGTTCAGAGCTTGTATTACATACCTGTTCTTGTCCCTGCTCAGAGAGTTCCTGTAACTGAAACAGCTAAGGCCTCTGCAGAGCACCCTGCAGCCTTTACTGACAGTGTGTTATGAATAGGGCAGAAAGGACTGGGGCATCAGTTGTCTCTGTGGAGCTGACAGTGAATTTAACCCCTTTGGAATAGAAGAATCTCCTGGTACTAGATGCCTACATCACTCAAGAGGATTGTGCTGGTTTTGCCTGTTGGTGTCCAGACCCTTTATTTGCTGACCAGTTGATTTCCTACTGAAACTGGTGCAGACAGGTTTGGAAGTAGAGCTGGCAAGTTGCTTTGCACTGCAGGACTTTTAGCAGCTGGATCATGTCCTGGAGTATCTTGTATTATGCCCTGAAGCAAAACCTGGGATTCAAACCTGCATCCGTCCAAGTGAAACTCCCAGGATAACAACTTTGCCATCTGCTGGGTCTGTGTAATGAGAGAAACTGCATGTCCCTAAGCAGCACACAAACTTGTTGAGGTAGAGTGAGATGGAGCTAAAAGGTGATGTTGCCCATCTAGCTCATCTTAGGGCTTGCCAGGGTACTTGGAGGGCCCTGGCAACTGCAGAGGGTCCTGGGTGATGGGACACCTTTGCTTTTACTGTGCTAAAGGCAAAGAGGTCAGAGAAATACAATTGTTTCCAACCTGCTGCAATGTCAGGATGCATTTGACTAGTCTCCTTTTGTGTTCTTTCTGTACTGTCTCTGCTCTGAGTTTGGGGGACTCGGCTTTTAAACAGAACTAGAGAACAGATTGGGATCTAACCTGCCTTGTGGTCTCTCAAATCAGATGGAAAAGACTGGGGGCTGTGGAAGCTTGGGTTTTCTCCCTTGCAGCATCCCCCATACTGGAGTTCCACGGTGGCTGTGAAAACTCAATAGTGTATGTGGGTGCTGCTTTCCCAGGAACCCAAGATGTGCTTGGCTGTGCTGTAGCACCAGAGCTTACATGAGGTTCCTGTCCTCTTCTCTTTGTACCTCTGAGGTAAAGTTTGTAATAGTGGCTCCTTCATCTGAGGAGTTGGATACAGTTGTGTTAAAGGGAACTGCAAATGGTGTTAGGAGCTCACTAAGTGAGATGAAAACCCATGAGCTCCCTTCTGCAGAGCCAGATCCCAGAGTTCAGCTCCTCACATGGCCTTTGGATGGGATCTTGGGCTGGCATCCTTGGAAACGCAGCGCAGGGAGATGGGGATGCTGCACTGCAGTAAGCACAAGAAGAGACAAGCCACAAGTGGGCCTCCATGTAGCACTCATCATGCGCTTCATGGCTCAGTTCATGGACTGTAATTGCAGGTATTCATATACTCAACATCAGTGGGCAGGACTCTGCGCACACGTACATGCATGCCCAGAAGCACATGCACCACACCCACACTTGCCCACACATCCTCGCCAAAACAACTGAGAATAAAAGCAATCTCAATCTCAAGGGGAGGTTTGGCTCTTTGATTTGATTTTGCTCTTCCAGTGCCTCCTCGGGCCCTGCCTCTGGAAGGGTCTGCGCCTCATTGTACATCTGGGGTTTTCCAAATCCATTAGGAAAATTTGTTAGGAGCACTGTTAGCAAATGGGTCACAAAATCAGCAAGAGATTTGGCATTGAGTGGATCTGAGCAGGGAGCCCCTTGTCTGAGTTAATATCTAGGAACCATTGCCCACTCCAGCAAGGCAGGTGATTTCTGGGCAATGGCTTTTTCCCTGCTGTGTTCAGGGTGTTGTGTGGGTTTGTGAGGCCAGCTCAGTGGTTCTCACTGGTACCATCTTTGTTTCCTTGCAAAGCTTGGTTCCCTCATTCTTCAGAGGTGAGAGCAGTCAGGCTGATGGCCCTTTGCTTGTGGCAGTGCCTGCAGGGTGAATTAAAAGTAGGAAGTAAGTCCCTTCCCACACAGCCCCAAGCAGCTGTGTGACCCCACTTCCATCACCACTCTCATCTGAAGGAGACAAGACTGATCTCTGCGGCAACCCCACCGAGCATGAAGGTGCTGCATAGCATGTCACGGGGAAGGAATGTCAGCATCTGCAACAAGCTGCTCGTGTGCCAGAACGATACAGGAGGTGACACTGAGGGTGGGTGCCTGAGCCCCAGCCACAGCAGGGCAATGAGGAGATGCTTGGATATTTAGGAGCTGACATAAGTGGAGGTGTTGGGGTGCCGCATACACTGCCTCTATCGCATGGACTGAAGAGGAATCTTTGAGTATGGGTCTGTGGGAAGCACCAGCAAGAAACCTGATGCATGACAGAGACGTCTCTCCCCTTTGCCTTCACGTCCTGGCTGAGAAGGCCCCTATGCCATCTCCCCTGCCTGCTTGTTGGCTGCAGGTTAAAGGCTACTGGGAAGAGCATGCGAGGCAGTTTCACAGGGCAGGAAGGGGATGGGGTCAGCTGAATCGCCCTGGTGGGCGTGCCCTGGCCTCCGACACACTATGGGTGTCCTAGGTCCACATTTAGGACGCCCTCTGTAAAGTCCCTTCACAAAGAGAGGGACGTGGAAGCATAAATACGGTGTCAGTCCAGTGCATCTTTCCCGCAACACAGCCAGAGCTTCCAGAGAGCTGCTGTGACCCCAAACCTAGGAGGCTACTCCGCCAAAGCTCGGGAGGGTATGGCAGGAGCAGGGCAGCAGAGGTGCTGCCGAGGCGCAGCGCTCGGGGCTGAGGCGATGAAGCAGGTTTCCATCCCAAGGCGGTAAGGCGGGAGCCGGTACCGAGCCGCTGTCCCTGTCTCACGACGGAGGAGGAGGTGGCACCAGCGGCAGCGGGGCCGTCCTGCAGAGCAGGGGCGGGCCCCACGCTCTCCCCGCCCCCCGACGGGCGCCCGGCCCTTCGCCGGCGCCATGGAGGAGCAGAAGGAGAACCGCCTGCAGGCAGCCCCGAATGAGGCATCGGCGCCGCCCGCCGCAGCCGCCCGCCCGTCGGTGAGTGCGCTGTGGCGGCGGGAGGCGGCGGCTGACCCCGCTGGAGCCGGGCATGCGCCCGCTCCCGCGCCCCTGGCCCGCCGCTGCCCCCGCGCATGCGCCGAGGCCTCCCCGCGGCACTCCCATGGCGGCGGCGGTGCTTGCCACGGCCCGAGCCAGGTGCTCCGCGGTTCCGACGGGGCGGGGCCCGGCCCGGCCCGGCCCGGCCCGGTACCGAGGCGGCGCCTTCGCTGCCGCGGGCCCTTCCGCCTGCGCTCGAACCTGGGAAGGCTGCGGCTGCGGCAGCGGGCTCGGGGAGGCCGGCCTCGCTTATGTCCTTGTCCCACAAAGCGCGCGAATAGCCGTTTGGAGTGGAAGTGCCTGTAGTTCATCTTAATTTACTCTTTTATTTATATTGCACATATTGGCCATCTGCCCGTGTGTCTCAGTCGGTGTAGAATCAGTAGCAGGGCGGACAGGGCCTTGAGCAACCTGGGCTACTGGGAGGTGTCCCTGCCCACAGCAGGGGGGTTGGAACTGGGTCATGTTAAGGTCCTTTCCAACCCAAACCATCCTCTGATTCTGGGTAGTTGAGGTGCCGAGAGGAATCTCGATGCCGGTTAAGGTTTTGTCACCTCATACCAGAGAACTAACTTTCTGTGTTGAAATTAGGACCCCCATTTAGAGGTTTGTCTCTCAGCTGCTGATAGGCACGACTTCAGACACGTGCATTACTGTCCCCTTAATTCTGTCTGTCGGTTTTTAGGCTTCAGTACTGATTTCCTTCCCTGTCTATAAGCTAGTTCACCTGCAGCGTGAAGCAGCGTGATGCTTCACTGTGATTTGGTGCCAAGATCATGTGTAAATCTTAATGGTCTAGCCTCTTGGTTTCACCTTAAATGACCTTCATGTTTCTCTTTCTTCTAGGGTAGGCAGCATTGTAGGATCAGTGACCAAGAAACTAATGGGAAGAAGTCAACTGCCAGTCCAAACGACTTCAGTGATCCGGTTTACAAAGAAATTGCCATGACCAATGGTTATATCAACAGAATGACCAGAGAGGAGCTGAGAAGTAAACTTGCAGAGTTCAAGCTTGAAACCAGGTTAGGCTGATTTGTAAACCTTTTGGTTTATCTTTGAGAGCAGCAAAGACACAGGGAATGAGTATTTTGAAGTTTAGAAATACACCGTAAAGCAAAAAGCAGACACTTCACCAAACACCAGCTGGTTTGTGCGCAGTCTTGATGCAGCCTTTGTTGTTGGATTGTTGCATGTGATGCTGCTTCATGTGTTACCAGCAACGTGTGCTGCCTCAACTGCTAACACGAAGTGGAACAATATGTAAATGTAGGGTACTTCTCAACACATATTTGGTCAAGTAGAACTGCAAGGGTTCTCAGGTGGTGGTGCAGACCTTCAGGGTATAGAAAGTCGCTTCAGGACATACACGGTTTTGTTTACTGTACACACTACAGATCTGATACTGGCTGGAACCGCTGTGGTGATAGGGCTTGGAATTTAATTGATGCAAAGGACAGGTACCTTTAGATGGAGGATTTGCTAATCTGAATAGATGAGATAGAATAATGAGAATAGGTGAATATGTTATTAGCTGGATGTGTGCTCACTGAGGAGGAGGAGAGGGCTGGGAATATAGAGTGGTTCTTGCTCTGTTGGAAATGACCTGCAACACCCTTTGATATTGCTGTGGCAAAGCAAATTTGGGATGTTGAGGAGAAGGTCAGCTGGGAAAAACAAAGTGTATTGTGTCTATTTGCAGCAGGAATGAGGAAGTAGTAGTGGTGGTGGTGAGTTGGCACAGTGAGAAGCTACTGCTCTAGAGGAAGAGGGAATATGAAAGGTGAGAGTTTAAAAGGAGAAGTCTGGCTTTCTAGAAAAGATGACTGTAGGGAAGAGGATGTTGGGGGGGGAAGGAAGTAACAGAGGTTCCTTTGAACAGAGTAACAGAAAAGAGACTTGTCTGGGTGGGAAGTGCAGTCTGTCTGCAGATGTTCTGATGCATAGCTTTTTTAATTCGTTCTTTGGATTTAGCTCCTCAGGAGGAAAAAAATTATCATTATCTGATAGATTTTTTGTAAACCAGTTTAGATTTGTACAGCTGTTCAGCAGTCACCCTGATTTAAAAACAGAAAGCAGAATTCAAGTAGTTAAGGATATGTTTATGGTTTCCTCCTCACTTATTAATTTTCTATTTGTTTTTATTCAGTTGTAAATGCAGAAAGCTTTAAACTTTTAGCTAAGCTAGACTTACCTCGTCAATAAATTCAGTTCTGTTGGTCAGAATATGTCTACATGTAAACGGTAGTGCGTCACCTCAAGTGTAGCGAACTGAGCAGATTGCCACACACCAGTCCTTTTCCTTGGGGTTGTTTTGATAGCAGATCATCTTCTCTTTCAATTCCCTGTATAGGTTTGATGAAGAAAAAAGTATTTTTCCCCTCCATTGCCTTCCATACTGTCTTAACCTTGAATGAACTGGTGGCCATTGAGTTAAAGTAGATTAATAAACCAGAGTGAAAAAGACTTATCTGTGTTTGCAGAAGCAGCTGATGTTCTCAAATGCAGGTTTAGTAGTCTGATTCCACTTTTCTCCTTGTGGATCAGTGGGCTGCTTTTCTGATAATACCACTTGCTACAAGTAGCTGTTACAGCTTCTGTGGTTTCATTTGGAATGTGTAACTTTAAAAATGACTTCATTGGAAGAGTAAATTATCCTTGTTTATTCAGCTCTGGTTTGGTACATGGCAATTCTGGCACCTGCACTTGCATGTTATAATGTTTATATTAAAAAGATGCAGTAAGTAACTTCAGTCACTTGCTACTGTGAATTCATGTGTTGTCCACGAACCTCCTGAAAAGCAGGATCCCGACCAGGAAGTTTTTCTGACAGCTGAAATCTCAAGTACTTTATTTGAATTGAGTTACTCAAGCTCAATTTTAAATTTAAATTGAGACTAATTTAAAATGTGGATGTTTTAGCTGGATTCTGCATTGTCTGTGTCACTGATGCAGAAATATCTCAGGCATCAGTGCTTCAGGCAGAGGGCACAGGGAAATACGGATGAAGCAGTATTGTGCTTCCAGGTCCAGAGGTCATCTGGGAGCAATCTGCAAAGACTTGGGCTTTGCAAAAACTTTGACTGCTGTGTTATTTGGGGATGTTGTGGGTGATATTGCAGCCTCTGCATTACCCCAGGTAATGGATGGTAAAATTGAACTCGGACTTCACAAGTGATCATGCTCAAAATTAGGTTCATAAATGATAAACTTTCAAATGTTAAACAGAGCTTTAGTTCTACAATGATGGAATACTCAGTCACATGTGAGTGTGATCTTTGTCACTTTCCTTATCTCTTTAGAGGAGTAAAAGATGTGCTGAAAAAGAGACTGAAAAACTATTACAAGAAACAGAAGCTGATGCAGAAGGAAGCCATTAATAGAGACAGCTGCTATGACTACATCTGTGTTGTTGACTTTGAAGCAACATGTGAAGAAGGAAACCCACCTGAATTC